TTATACAAAATAAAATGATTGGTTGATACTCATGATATGACTTTCTCGGTAAATATTTTGAGTATGATTTCTGTATAGAATTCATTTTGTTAATTTTTTAATTTCTCAACACTTAAGTAAATAATAATTCTGACTAGAAATGCCATTAGTAATTATAATTTATGTACGATTAACCAATTTGAGATTGGCTGGAATTCCGCGACTTTTAAAACTGTAATGTTTTGTTAAAAAATAAAATAAGCATATATATATATTTTTGTGAATGTATATTATATATATTTATATATGAATGTGTATATGTATATATATATATATATATATATATATATATATATATATATATATATATATATATATATATATATATATATAGACACACACACAAGAAAGAATGTCTATGTCCATGGCCGTTTCTTTATCTGTCTGTCAAACGTTGGAGGCCAGATGCTTAGGGCCAGCCTCACCCAAATTGGCAGAAGGCTCTGTGGTACGATTTTTGGCACTCCCCGGCATCTGCACTTAAATATTTTCAAAACAAACTTTTCTAAACTATTCTTTTCTCATAGTAACACACACCACTATTCACCAATCTCGGGAGGGGGAAGGGAAATAAACATAAAAATATTTTGCTGTTCATAATTTGCCCGTACTCCCATAAAAAGAGACAATCCTGCCACAGCTTCAGAGGCGTTTCAGACCACGTCTCTTTATCAGAGTAAGGAGTAACTAATCTTTTTTTAGTGTTTCACACCGCTCAGCTAATCTCGCTGGCCACCACTCACTCAGTACATAATTATATTTTTTATTGGAGAGACAGAGATCGAGATAGACAAAGGAAGAGACAGAGGCAGGTGGAGACACAAAGACAGGTGGATGGATGGATAAAGAAACTTTTGCCCATTTGTTTCTGCCTGGTCCGAGACTCGAGTCCTGGCCACAGAATTACGAGCCCTGCGTGCTGTCCGCTCAGCTACCAGACATGTGTGTGTGTGTGTGTGTGTGTGTGTGTGTGTGTGTGTGTGTGTGTGTGTGTGTGTGTGTGTGTGTGTGTGTGTGTCGCTCAAATTGAACTCCACAAAATGCAGACCTGACAGCAGTCACAAGCACCCCTGCAACCTTGAAGGGATAATAAAACAGGTTGGTTGCTCCTGCCTCACAGGAGGACACCAGCCGCGTAGCTGAAGATGGTGGGTCCTGAGGGCATTGTTACTGTATTATTAGGTTCAGGAGTTGAGAGAGAGAGGAATTCACCAGGCCAAACTGGCCACCACAAGAGCAGTCAATCTATATTTCGTGAAGAGACTTGAGCAGTTCTAGCCTGTCGAGTGGACTAGGTGATCTTGTCCAGCATTCTTATTGGTCAGCTGGGGGGGGGGGGGCAGTAGGGGTGTTTTGTACACACACACACACACACACACACACACACACACACACACACACACACACACACACACACACACACACACACACACACACTAGAGGGAGAAACCTGGCACTGCTCGGGTGACGGAAGGCACTGCTTCACTACATACCATCTTCATCACTGTATCCATGTTAACTATTCACCTTCTTTCTTCTTAGCCATCTTCCTTACGTTTCCGCTCCTTCACCACCTTCCCAACCCTTCACTACTTCCCCACGTGTTCCTCTCCCTCGCCATCTTCTCTACCACTCACCACCATCCTTAACCCTTCACCATTTGACAATAGTGGAAATTATTGTGATTTATCATTTCGTTCAGAGCAGGGAGGGTGACCACCGACTCCCCTATGACCATCCCCGAACAAAGATCTGTCACCCTGCAAAGTTAGTTAAAATCTAGTCCCTCATCGTCTGACCTCTCGCCCTTGATCGAATAATCAGATATTCTCTTTATGGATTCCAGAAAAGAAATCCTCCATAGTCCGAGCCTGTTTCTCCCTTCTCTCCTCTTTTCCTCCCTCTCTTCCACTCCCTCTCCTCATTTCTCTACTTCTTTTCTTTTTTTCTGCTTGCTTGTGTGTATATGCCAGAACACACAACCACTGACCGCGTGAACTCCTGTCTCCAGAGGGATTTTCCCAGTTGTCAGGAGAGCCCCAATAATGCTCCTCTGGCCGCATTTGAGAGCTCCCTTCCTAGAAGTGGCCCGAGGGAGGGAGGGAAGGAGAGGGAGGGTGTTCTCAGAATCTTCCTGGGAA